GGAAAAATTATAAACATCCATCTCTCTAATCCTAGCCTGATCTCTCTCTCTCTCTCTCTCTCTCTCTCTATATATATATATATATATATATATATATATATATATATGTGTGTGTGTGTGTGTGTGTGTGTTTGTGTATGCGGGTGCGTGTTTGTGTGTCCATCGCAAATAAACTAATAAAAATAATCTCATAAATTTCTATTCTCACCGTAACAGCAAAATAAAATCCATGATAAGCGCCGCATTATATTTACGAGCACTCAGAATTTGTAGCCCTCAATATTTATATGAACAGGAGATACTTTTAAGCAAATCATTTCATATTAAACGCGAAACAAAAAAGCTCGTAAAATATTTAAAAAAAGAAGAGTTGTCAATTTTGACAAGCCCAACGAATCAGAATATATTATTCTACTCATGAACTCTATTATAAATGAAATTGGAAAGAATTTATCTAAGCTTAACAAAGAACGTTTTGCAACTACTTCTAAAACAATAAAATACTTAATTAATACGAAATAAAATAAAACTTGAAGGAGGAAATTTACCTTATTACTCGTAATAATTGCCACCATATATAGAAGCCTCAAGGAAATTAAATAAAATATTATGTGATTAAGAAAGGGATGTTTTACAAACCAATGTATTAGTTTCTCAACGGAATAAGTTTGAATTTTGATTTAGAAAGTGCTACTCAGATTCAAAGAGAAAGCAATCTACTAAGAGGAAAATACAAAGAAACTACTTTAATTGACAGATCATCGACACCAAATATACGTCAAATTTCTTACAGCAATTCACATTTCTTGGCAGAATTTCTATCCTTCACAATGGAGGATATTTAATGACGAAAGATGTAGAAACAGAAACAAAAAGAAAAAAAAAGAAACTAAATGAAGTCGGCAAGATTATGTAGCCAAAAAATTAATTTGAAAAATAAAATTTTAATTGAAAATTACCAGCGTCCCTTTTCCTTCATGCGAATTTTTTCACAACTTTGTCATAGATTATATACATATATATATATATATATATATATATATATATATATAGAGAGAGAGAGAGAGAGAGAGAGAGAGAGAGATGGATGATAGAAATATCAAATATATGTATATATATTCATATAGATAGATAGACATAACAAATATATTTATATATATATATATATATATATATATATATATACATATATATATATATATATATATATATAGATAGATAGATAGAGAGATAGATAGGTAGATAGATGAATAGATAGAAATATCATATATATATAGATAGATAGATAGATAGATAGATAGATAGATAGATAGATAGATAGAAATATAGAATATATCAGGTCATCCCATAAGTTCTGTCCGATTTTTAACCTTTTGTTAAAATGAACGAAATTTAAAGAGTATTTTATAATGTCTAATGGTGCTGAACATTATTTTTATGTTTAGATGCATTTAAACTGATCAAATTTTATTTCAGAGAACAATAAAATTAAATTTTGTTTGATTAAAACAATGCTAACATGGAAGTACCCAAGAATCATTTGAGGCACATAATGCTTTATGAGTTCAAGAAAGGAAACTCAGCAGCCGAAGCGGCTAGAAACATTCACTCAGTTTATGGAGATGTGTGAATGAAAGAACTTGCAGAAGATGGTTTTGCAAAATTCAGAGGTGGAGATTTCACCCTTGAAGATGAAGATCGAACCGGGCGTCCAGTTGAGTTTGATGAAAAGCTTCTTGAAGCAGCCCTTGAAGAAAATCCTGCTTTATCAGTTGAGGAATTGGCAGTGGTTCTCAGTTCAAACCATACAACTGTTCATCGTCATCTTCAATAACTTGGAAAAGTTCCTAAACTTGGAAAATGGGTGCCTCATGAATTGTCTGAAAACAACCTCAAATTCCGAGTTGACATCTGCTCTTCTCTTCATTCTCGCCAACTTGTTTCACCTTTATTGGATAGACTTGTGACTGGCGACGAAAAATGGATGTTTTATCGAAATGTTAAGCGTCGTAGACAGTGGCTTGGTAAAGGGGAAGGACCCCAGCCACAGCCGAGAAGGGAACTTCATGGGCAAAAGGTTCTTCTTTCAATCTGGTGGGATCGCCAAGGAATAATCCACTTTGAATTCTTACCACCTAATGCAACAATTAATGCTCAAATATACTGTCGGCAATTAGAGCCTTTGAACCAAGCTTTGAGGAAAGAAAGACCTGCTCTAGTGAATCGAAAAGGGGTGATGTTTCATCAGGACAATGCACGACCCCACACAGCAAGAATCACGTCACAAAAGATCGAAGAACTTGGTTGGGAGAAAATTCCTCATCCACCTTATTCTCCCGATCTTGCTCCTTCAGACTACCATTTGTTTCGTAGCTTACAGAATCATTTGGAAGAAACAGCTTTTGTAACACAGGAAGAGGTTAAAACTGACATTTGTGAGTTCTTCGAATCAAAGCCAAAAGAATTTTACAGTAATGGAATTAATAATCTTGTTAATAGATGGAAGGAAGTCATAGATAATCAGGGAAAATATATTGTTGATTTAATCTGTAATTAAATGTCACATTTGGTCACTTGTTTTCTTTATTCAAAATTCGGACAGAACTTATGGGATGACCTGATATATATATATATATATATATATATATATATAGATAGATAGATAGATAGATAGATAGATAGATAAATAGATAGATCATATATATATATATATATATATATATATATATATATATATATATATATATAATATCAAATGCTTTCCTTTTATATATATATATATATATATATATATATATATATATATATATTGTGTATATTTAGGCAGCAGATTTTCATTAATACATGTTTCATTAAGTAACATAGACATGTTTTTGTCTATTTATTTTAAGTAAGTTCCTTTCATATTGCCTGATGAGCTTAATCATATTATCGTTGAAAGACGAAAGGAAAACATCATATTGATATATGTTTAAATCCAATCTAACCTTTCGGCTTACACAAGCCATTATCAAAGATGACAATTTCAATAAATCAATCAACACAGGGACGAACGAAACAACAATGATTTAAACATCTATCAATATGGTGTTTTCCTTTCGTCTTTCAACGATAATGTGATTAAGCTTATCAGACAATATGAAAGGAACTTACTTAAAATAAATAGACTAAAAAACTTGTCTATATTATTTAATGAAACATGCATTATTATCATATATATATATATATATATATATATATATATATATATATATATATGATGAAAACATGCACACACAGACATATATATATATATATATATATATATATATATATATATATATATATATATATATATATATATAGTTTGCCTGGCTCTTTAGGTTCATATTTAGGTTTGCTCTACTTAGTAGTCAATTTTGCTTTACTCGTTTTGAAGGTTTTTTTTTTTCTTTGGACTCTGAGCGTGAATTCTGAACGATTGTTTTCGCCTCAATTACATGGTCTTAGTTCTTTTTTTTTATCCCTTATTTTCCCTTGGGCATTGGTTTGTTCAATTACAAGCCTAAATACCTAAGGTTTTTCCAAACGAGTATAACTATATATATATATATATATATATATATATATATATATATATGTATTAGTGAATATACATAATATCCAACGTCGATAACACAACTCGAAGTTTCATGCAGTTAATGCAATCTTCAGGTGTGGAGATCCTGATCGTTATCGAACGCATTCTCGTGATGATGATGATGTAAAATTGTGTGTACAAACATGTCTACTTAAAATATAGAATTAACTATAAATAATTAATATCGTTCAAATACGTAAGATCAAAAGTCGAAGTACTAAAAAAATAATAAATAATTAAAAAAATTATTTAAATTTGAATTGGGATTCGAATGTAAACAGTATATCAAGGGAGGTAAATCGTTTTTATCATAAAATACCCAAATTTTGCCTATTAACACAAATTAGAATGCAAATTAGAAATATAATATAAAAGTGCAAAAAGAAATAATAAATTGGGAATATATATCTAATGTACTTATAACATGAAATTATATACACACACACACCTTATAAATTAATCGAGTACAGTAATATTGCATTGTATGTGTGTATAGATATATAAGGAAAGTTATTGATAATTGGTTCTGAGAATATTAAAAGTTGTTGCATATTATATTAATATCCGTAAAATCCATTTTGTAATCATTTTTAATCGGAGTCAATCTTTTGGGATTTATGGATACATGTAAACATTAATTCGGACATCGTGTTCAGCAAGTTAGAATTATTTAAGTGTTTTAATATAATAAGCTTCTTCAAGGGTCACCTGTCTCCCTTTGCCTTGTGTGGCACGATTATCTCCCAGTTAATGGCTGGGTTCTTATGGATGTTTTTTAATCACCAAACGTAGATTGAAAGCATTGTACAGTTTTTTTTATTTGATATTGCTAAGTGTCATTTTGTTGTGGTAAAAACACAATTTCCAGTTGTTCACAGTGGATCCAAAGTAATATTTAATATTAGGTTGTAGCAAAAATAATGGCGTTTTTGACGTTAGGTTGAACGTCAAAAAACGACATTATTTTTGCACCAACCTAATATCAACGTCTGAGTTAATGTTAGTTCTGTATATAATGCCCTCAGTCATACACAGGCCGTTTAATGGACAGGTTGCGTTTTTACGGCAGTTGCATTGACTTTTACTAGGGTTATTTTTTAGTGTTTTGTTTGGGATTTTGCTTAATACCTTATTGATATGTTGGGATATGTAATTATCTAAGTTTTTGTACAGCTAGAGCTTACCTTAATGTTATTTTTGCTTCAGTGTTAGAAAATGACCAAAAATGTTAGTGAATTAAATTAAGGAAAATTCTACCTACATTGGTTTTGACATCACTGTGGTATGGTGGGTTGAACCATATTATGTTACGTTTTGTGCATGCAAAATCTATTCTATTATCCTAATTTCGCTTGTTTTTTTGTTTTTTTTTATTTTTCAGAAAGTCAATCTGAACATATTAGTGAAAGCCATTTGTATTTAAAGGGTCAAATGATGTTGGTAAAAGAATGGGATTGTCTCATGTTTCTCGGAACCCCGGTGTAAGTATTTTCTTGAAATTAAGCTTTTTCGTCGATCTTTTTAAGTTAACACGAACTTCGATATTTCAAATATTTCAAATAATTTTTACTAAGCCTAGTTCAATATGGCACCGAAACAAATAGTGAGATAATGGGGTTAGGTTGACTGTTGTGATTATTGTGCAGGTCAATAATTGTTTGCAAATTGTCAGCGTCCATGCTAGGGATCAGTCTTCCGACACTAGTGGAAAACCCACAAGTAGCTCGATTTACATAATGAGTTTTCAAATGCTGACAGGTTTAGCACCAGGTCACACTGTTGGAGCACTCAGTTAAAATCAATATCTATCTATCTATGAAAATCAATCAACGCAAAATCAAAAATACTAGAATTGCTTTCTTCTTTTACTCCATATCTCATTCCCTGATGAAGCCTTAATAAAAGTGAAACGTTTTAGACTGATAAACGTTTTCTAGTTGATCTTTATCTTATCATTCTGTCAGATTCTGATCTATATTTGGTTTGTATTTGATCCCAAACTATCTATCTATCTATCTATCTATCTATCTATCTATCTATCTATCTAAATGCAAAAGTAAAATTAAAAACGGAGGTCAACAACAAGCGTTGATGATTTGTTTGATGCTTGAAGGCTAACTTCAGCCCATTTTTGTTGTATGTTGGCTCGTTGATACACATGGCCTAAAGATTACATTCAAGCGTGAAACAGACTGTCGCCACTTAATGTTGACCTCAGTGTCCAATTTTACATTTACATCCGCTGAACACTTTTACCCATAAATATAGCATACCTTACCTTAAAACTATATTTTTATCATTTTATATAACAATAATAATAATAATGATAATAATAATAATAATAATAATAATAATAATCGCTGTCCACTCATATTCGAGAATATACGTCTACTAGGGCAGTTAGCCAGTCCCTATTGCAGACGCATGCTCAGGTGCAATTATGCTTGCTCAACAGCCACAGAGCACACCTGTGGTTTATACTGCAACTATAGTGAGTAGAAGTTAGTTACAGTTTTTTGGCGAGAAGCATGTTATCTAGCGTGATCAGCAATCTGAAAATGGGCAGTACGCTGAAAATCTCGGTCACAATGACTTACGACTTCGTGCTAGCACAGTCATCGACGACCCCCAAGGGTTCTGTCTACCAAATTTCACTCACATAAATCAATATTATATTATTATTATTATTAATCTAAAATACACACAGAAACACACACACATATATATACATACATACATACATACATATATATATATATATATATATACACACCGACAAACCTCTCATCAACGGACTAATAGTGGGGAGGGGTGGTCCGTTAAAGCCGATTGTCCGTAGATAGAAGAAGCTCTTATTTGTCCATGTTGTACGCTTCCATTTTACACTTTCCTTCTGCTTCGATGCCATGATGAGGGCAGAAAAATTAATATATTAATCAAAATATCAAAAATAATAGATTTCTCACAGCTGCTTTCTCACGCACGCACTAATGTATAGTACTTTTCCTCTTTGTTTACAATTGAAAGGCCTGCCACTGCTTCCAAGAGGTAACTTTGTGAACGAATATATCTCGTTCCTCTAAGCCCGCAAATTTTGAAATACATCGCTGACGATTTGGAAGTTTTTTTTATTCGTTTTTTTTTTTATTTGCCCTCAGATTTGTCCGTTAAAACCGAAGTTAGTTTTGTTCCCTACCGAATTTTATCCAGGGCGAAATGTAAGGATTTAATCTTAATTAATAAAAAATAAATATAAACAAATAAAAAATAAAATTAACATTAACTCACGTTCGTTTATTAGGCATCATTTTGAGTTCTCCATCAATGATAACCAACGTTACAGTTACATCCTGGTTTTCATTTTGTTCTCATTTATACTGTTTTTTACAGATATATTTTATTTATATCTGAATATATATATATATATATATATATATATATATATATATATATATATATTGTAAAAGACAATAGGAAAACTGTAATATTAGCCGACGCGTTTCGTCCAATGTGGACTTTTCAAGGCAAAAACGAAATGAATTTATTAAACAAAGTAACTAATAATAACAAAACACAATGTCCTTAGCAACTGGAAGAATTTAGAGAACGCTATTATATCTATACTGTAGGTACCTCCATTAGGTTACGTAAAAAAGCAGCATATCACGACGAAAAAAGGTCCATAAATCAACGAAAACAAAGTTTTGTCATCAATATGTTTATGTTGTTATGAAGAGGAAAGACCAAAGTAATTTTTAATTATTTTTTGAAATTTATTACTCCTTTCTAGCACGTAGAAAATTTTGGCTAAATTTTTTGTTTTTTTTTTTACGTCAGCGCAGTAAGAGAGAAAAAAGGTTTGTTTTATTTCCCGAGGAAAACACACGTTAATTTAGGAAATTCTTGAAAAAAACAAATAATTGTCGGATTTTAATGAAACTTTCAGGACTTATTCAGAAATGAATGAAATTATTTAAATTTTATTTTCTAGAAAATCTTGTTAAAAAGAGTTTTTTTTAACATGATTCCACACACTTACTTATTTTCATGAAATTTCGAGAAATTAGATCTTTAAGCACGGGATTTGTTTTATTAGTTATAAACAGGACTCTTTACAGAAAGTAAATCACCAGTTTTTTTTTTTTTGTTTGTTTTTTTTTTTGTAAAACAGTTACCCGTTTCAAAGAAAATCTGCTCTGAATTATAAAAAAATATAAAAATGTATGACATTAATTAATTAGAAAAGCTTTGACCTGCTTTTGTAAATACGTTATATTAAGGACATTATTTTGTGAAGAAGTAAAAAATTTTCGATGAATAATGTATTTTTTACAAATTGTTTTTCCAGTTTTTAAATTATTTTCATTAACTTCTTAATACTTCAAAAATCGTTTAAAATTCTTTATTGCTTTTAAGCACGTGATACAATGTTAATGAAAAAGTAAATTTACGAATCGAAAATTTGAAAGGCACATAACAGTCGTTTGTACCCGAATATTTTTAAAATAATTTAAAAAGAAAAATTTTATTGAAAAAACGTTCATAATTTCTACGTATGGAAGTGTATACATGACATAATCCTTAAAAAAATTTAAACAATTATCTCATTAATAAAAAACTTTAAACTATTATCTAATTAAGAAAGTATTGAAATAAAAAATAGATATTAAATAATTGCTAAATAAAAATGTTAATATTTAAAAAGTACTAGTTAAAAACGAAAAGCTGTGTTCGCTTACTTTGCAAAAATTGTCAATTTTGATCATCCATAGTAGTCTGTCATCACGTCACAATCGATGTCTTTGGTAAATTCAGCACATCGTTAAGAAATGTTTGGATACAAATTTTTACACTATAAGTAAGTACTGTTTGTTTCATATCAAATTAATTTAACTTTAAATTTTCTAATTTTACTCAAATAACGTGTCAAAAATATATAAATTTATTTTAGGAAGAAGTTTAAAATCAAAATTTTGTTTTTGTTTAAAAATGTCTTAAAATTTAAGAAAATGGCCGCTTTTAAGAAAATTAAACAAAAATCGAGCATATATTTGACATTCCAATCTGTATAATTTCTATCTGTAAGACACCAGAATATGTTATTTACTGTAAATAATAAAGTTAATGCTTTAGCTTTCAATTACTAACAACATATTGAGACAAAACTTTGTTTTCGTTGATTTATGAGCCTTTTTTCACTGTGATATGCTGCTTTTTTACGGGACCTAACGGAGGTACCTAATTGTTAACTGATAATTACGTCAAGTACTGTCATTTGTGGAGATATTCTTTTTATTGTTGTGGTGACGGATTCAACCATTTTCTTTTGATTTCTTGATACTGTTGTGTACGTTTCCTTGAGAGAGTAGTAATTCGGTTAAGAAAGGGAAATAGAGAAAAAACCTGGGCGTAGATTAATATTTGGATAATATTCAATGGCGGTACTCTCGAGGATTTTCTTTCTGAGTGAGTTATTTTTTTTTTTTTATAAGTGTAGCATTTTTAAAATCAAAATTGTGGTTGAATTTATTTCTATGTATGATTATTGCATTCGTTAAGTTGTTTTTTGTGAGGTCTCTTTTGTGCTCATAAATGTGTTTTTTTTATATTTCTACTTGTTTCTCTAATATATCTGGAGCAATAGTTTTATAATTTATTTCCCCGGTGAATTTTTTTCCCCTGGTTCATCAGACCACACTTCCAAGGGTGAAAAATGAATTTAAATTTACATATATTTTTCATACACATTTGAGGGGTAGTATTAAGTTGATATAAGTGATATAGAGAGTGGGGAGAGATTGTGACATACATGGTCGAATTTGGGAGGGAAGGAGAGATAGGAATGATTTTAAACTCATATATATATATATATATATATATATATATATATATATATATATATATATATATAATTGAAAAGGCTTAAACACTAATATTCCATGGTCATAATTTATTCCATTGGAATCGCAAATACGATTCAATTCATCAGGCCTACAAATTCAAAAAAGAAAACAGAAAAAAACCCAACTCCGGAAATAAAAAAAATATATATAATATATATATATATATATATATATATATATATATATATATATATATATATATATATATATAAAAAAAGAATAGTTGCTGAGCGTCAATATTCAATTTTTTACAATGCCTTACAGTTGAATTTAATGATAGAACATTATTTTATATTAATTTATACCATTGCAGGATGAAATCTTTGGAAGGTATGTTTGCTACTGGACTATTTATTAATGACCTCAGTATGCACGATTGTAGTCGGGACTTAGTACTGGCTGGTCATCAACAGTCTGCCGAACTGAAACTTGCACTAGATCAGGTAAGCAACTTACGATCATAATATTATTATTATTATTATCGTTTCGAGCTCAAACCTCGCTCTTTCTCCCCCCACTCTCTCTCTCCCCTCTCTGTGACGCACACATTCGGACCCACACGCACACATATTGTTGTTATTTTTATTTATATATATTAAATTTACATATTATATCTCGGCACCTCCGCTCGTTGCTGAAGAAAAAGCATAGCATGATGAAAAAAAAAAAGACTCCAAACTTAAAAACAAAGATTTATCTTCAAAATGTTTATTCTGTTGTTAAGAAAAATGCCGAAAGTATTTTTTGATTATTTTAATAAATGTTTTAATCTTTTCTATCCCGTTCGGAATTTTTTTTTTTTTTTTACGTCAGCGGTCGACTTAATATTTAATGTGATCTTTTAGCGCCTTTTTTCATGTGGAAAAAACATTGATTTCGAAATTCTTGCAAAAATTAAATAATAGTCAGATTTTAATGAAACTTTCAAGACTTATTCACAAATGTATGGAATTTTTGTTGGAATTTTAAAAAATAATCTTGGTAATCTCTTTTTAAATATTCTCCCCCTCATTTCTTAATATCATTAAATTTCGAGAAATTAAATGTCAATCGCAATTTTTTATTAGTCAATAGCAGCACTCCTTTTTTTTTGTTTTTTTTTTTCACACTAGTATTCATTTCCTGAAAATCTGTCCCGAATCGAAAAAAAAAAAAAATGCAATAAAACTATGGTATTTTTTTTAATTAGGAAAGCACTTAATTTCTTTTATAAATAAGACTTATAAAGGCACTTTTGTCTTAAGAAAACAAAATGTTCGATTAATAATGAATTTTAAAATAATTTTTTTTTTAACATTTTAATTTAAATCGTTTAAAATTGTGCATTATTTCAATCCGGTTATATGATATTATTATTAAATGGAAACAAAATCTACGAATCAAAAATTAAAAAGTTTAATGACAGCCATTTTGCAATAAATTTTTAAATAATTTTAATTTTTTTTTAGTGGATAACATTCTCATTTTTGAAAGTATGGTATTCCAAACATGACATTATTATTAAAAGGTCACGAGTTTTAAGAGTTGTCCTCCTTACTGAATTTTTTAAAATATATTTCTAGGGTAGTGAATAAAAAAATAAAACTGTAAACAATTACGTAATTAATAATAAAATCTAAAGCACTATAAAAATTTAAAAATAAAATAACTTTAACAATATATAACCATCAAGATAAAAATTAATAATATAGAATAAAATAAAAAAAGATATTAGAAAATATAAATTAATAATAAATAAAATACCATAACATTTAATAAATTATTGAGCTACCTCTATTATGGTATTTCATTAACACTTCAGTTATTTAATTTTTAAATTAATTTAAGAAAGTTTTATAGTATTTTCAATTCTATTATTTTTTTCATAAAGTATCTTCAAACGTAAAGCTATAAAGCTAAAGTAACTAAAATTCAATAAAATATTAGACAACTGCTGAGAATAATATGAAAATTTTTAAAAGACAAAAACAATGTTCACTTAGATTTCGTAAATTTATATCAATTCTAGTCAACCATAATTAGCTGTCAACAGGTCAGTCTGTTAATACATCAAGCAACGCGTCAGAAAAAACAAGACCCCATGGTTAAAAAATACTTGTATACTACGTTTTATGCTATAAGTAATATTTGTTTCAAATCAGATTAATTTAAATTTAAATTTGCTAATTTTCCTGAATTAACGTGTCACAAATGCCGTCAATGACGAAATTATTCGTACACCCATCAATTTTTAATATTATTATTCATTTCTCAGAATCTAATGCCCGTACAATGTCAGTTTTTTTTTATATGTTAATAAACACTAAAAAGCAAATTAAAACTCGATTTTCAGAACAATTCATTAAATACTACAAATTTGACAGACGAATTATACGAAATAGGAAATGACAAAATTATTCGTAGAGTATGAAAAATAGAAAAGGCTGAACAATTTTCAGAATATTAATAGTCAATAGCATGGTTTCTCAACTTTATAACTTGCTTCAATCATTTTCTAAAGTTTTTGATAAGATTTGAACAATTTCTTTCTTGGGATTTTCTTCCATTCATCAATGGTTACATGTTCTAATTCCTAAATGTTTTTTGGTGACTGACAATTTATTCAAACTTTCAAATTTGCCATAAATTTTCAATAGGATTCAAGTCAGGAATCATTGAAGGCCATGGCAATACTGTAATCTCCTTTTTCTCAAGCCACACAGTCACTGGTTTAGATGTATGTTTGGGATCATTATCTTGCTGGAAAGTAAATTGCCAACCTAGATGAAGATTTTGCACTGATACTGGTAGATTTTCATCCAGAATTTTGAGATAGTCTGCAGATTTCATTCTTTCTTTTATTGAATTTAATTGTCCCGTCGCCCTTGAGCCAAAACAAAACAAAAATGTCATCGAGACTCCTCCATGTTTTAATGTTGCCACTGTGTTCTTTGGTAGGAATGCCTCACATTTCTTGCGCCAAAATCTTCTCTACATCCTTACGTCCAAAAAGCTCACTTTTTATTTCGTCATTCCATAGTACTTGTTCCCAAAAGTGATTTTCTTTGTCCAAGAACGTTTTGGCAAAATTAAACCAAGCAACAATGTGACATGATTTGTGAAGTGGGGTTCGTCGTGGTCAGTTTCCACCGAACCCATTTCTATTTAAACAACATTGTATTGTGCGAATATTGACGATGTCTTTCAAAATAACTATTGGGTTTATATTAACCTAACGATGCAGTTTACGTGCAGTTCTCGGCGACAATTTGAGTTTTTTCTACCAAGGCGACGCAAATTCTCTTTGTTGTATTTAACCTATTGTCCTGAAAATTGAGTTTTATATCCCTTTTTGTGCTTATTAATATATAAAAGCCTGGCATCATACGGGCATTAGATTCTGAGAAATGGATGAAAATATTCAAAATTGATGGGTGTACGAATATTTCGTCGAATATATTTTATTTCTGGAATATTTTTAAAACCGAGGATTAACTTTTGTTTACAAATGTGTCAAAATGTCATAGAATGGCCGATTTTAATCGATGTTTTGAAACCGACCAAACAGCTGAGATTCCAATCAATACAATTACTATTTGAAAAACACCACAGTATTTTGCTTACTGGAAATGGTAAATTTAGCTTTCAATTAAAACTAAAATGAAACCTTCAAGAATGCTTTTTCCTTTCTAAAAGTTAGTTTTAAACCTTAGTTATTGAACATTTAGTTAAAGACATTAATTATATCAATAATAAAATTGTGAATTTTTACATTCCGTTGACTTCCACGTTGCAAAACGTGTTTCTTTTATTGAATTTAACAAACATAAATACATTACGCAGCGACACGCATGAACGCATGTGTGTGTGTGTGTGTGTGTGTGTGTGTGTGTGTGTGTCCAATTTTAATTTGTTTTAGTCGAGCTTTTAATACAAATGAAATTATTTTTGTTTTACTTAACCGTTTTAAATTAATAATTGACATTTAATTTTTCAATATTATTTTTATGTCATAGAATGGTAATATTAATGCTAATATTAGCCGTTTCCCTACAATGAAACATTCGCCATAATTGACCGAGCAGCCAGTATTTTCTCTTCTCAGGTCCAATAGTTGTTATCGCTCTTTCCAGTATTGATGGGGGTTTCCTTCTTAACCTTTTCTTTGAAGTAGTGTGGAATGTCAACATCTTGATTATGTCATTATTTTCTCTTCTCAAGTCCAGTAGCTGTTATTGCTCTTTCCAGTATTGATGGAAGTTTCCTTTCTAACCTTTTCTTTAAAGTAGAGTGGAATGTCAACATCTTGATTATGTCATTATTTTCTCTTCTCAAGTCCAGTAGCTGTTATCGCTCTTTCCAGTATTGATGGCAGTTTCTTTCCTAACCTTTTCTTTGAAGTAGTGTGGAGCGTCAACATCTTGATTATGTCATTATTTTCTCTTCTCAAGTCCAGTAGCTGTTATCGCTCTTTCCAGTATTGATGATAGTTTCCTTCCTAACCTTTTCTTTGAAGTAGTGTGGAACGTCAACATCTTGATTATGTCATTATTTTCTCTTCTCAAGTCCAGTAGCTGTTATCGCTCTTTCCAGTATTGATGGGAGTTTCCTTCCTAACCTTTTCTTTGAAGTAGTGTGGAACGTCAACATCTTGATTATGTCATTATTTTCTCTTCTCAAGTCCAGTAGCTGTTATCGCTCTTTCCAGTATTGATGGGAGTTTCCTTCCTAACCTTTTCTTTGAAGTAGTGTGGAACGTCAACATCTTGATTATGTCATTATTTTCTCTTCTCAAGTCCAGTAGCTGTTATCGCTCTTTTTCCAGTATTGATGGGAGTTTCCTTCTAACCTTTTCTTTGAAGTAGTGTGGAACGTCAACATCTTGATTATGTCATTATTTTCTCTTCTCAAGTCCAGTAGCTGTTATCGCTCTTTCCAGTATTGATGGGAGTTTCCTTCCTAACCTTTTCTTTGAAGTAGTGTGGAACGTCAACATCTTGATTATGTCATTATTTTCTCTTCTCAAGTCAGTATTATTTTCCAGTATTGATCAAGTCCTAACCTTTTCTTTGAAGTAGTGTGGAACGTCAACATCTTGATTATGTCATTAGTATTGAGTGGGTAGCTGTTATCGCTCTTTCCAGTATTGAACCTTTTTTTTTTGAAGTAGTGTGGAACGTCAACATCTTGATTATGTCATTATTTTCTCTTCTCAAGTCCAGTAGCTGTTATCGCTCTTTCCAGTATTGAAGAGAGTTTCCTTCCTAACATTTTATTTGAAGTAGTGTGGAACGTCAACATCTTGATTATGTCATTATTTTCTCTTCTCAAGTCCAGTAACTGTTATCGCTCTTTCCAGTATTGATGGGAGTTTCCTTCCTAACCTTTTATTTGTAGTAGTGTGGAATGTCAACATCTTGATTATGTCAGTATTTTCTCTTCTCAGGTTCAGTAGCTAGTATAG